ATTTTTTTTTAAATTCTTCCCACATACCTGTCTCTTATACACATCTAGATGTGTATAAGAGACAGCAATTAATGACATCTAATATTGATCACACGTCATCTCCGCACTTGCGTGGTTTGGCGCGACAACAAGTTTGCGTGATGAAGGCAGCTTCCAATATACCAGTCTAAGGTACCTAGTGGAAAGCTTGTATTGCTCGCATTGGTATATACAGAATATCTGTTTAAACATATAAAGGCTGAGAATAACGATATTTAATTTAGTAGTGAAAGTGTTTGTTGTATTCCGGGATATTATGTAAATAGCAACTTTTTAAAAGTATTAGCATTATTGTACCACGTGACTGATCACGTTACTTGATTTATCAGAATTGAAGATTATATGTACATTACAGATTTGCTTCGTGTGATTTCAATAAAGATATGTATATATGTATAACAAATAGTCCATTTTTATTTATACTTATTCCGTGTCAATTCTTTAGAACTATTAAATATGAACTATATGTTAAATGAAGTCAATGACAATCGAATCCAATTTTCTATGCGCCAAAGGCGAGAGAGTGATTAGATAATATAATATAAATATAAAAGCATGGGCGGGGTGGGGGGGGGGACAGTACTGTTCAAATAATACGAACTACATTAAATGAAATTAGATGGTAAATGAAATCGAATCAATATCATATAGTTTCTGTGTGACATGGTAGGTGAGAGTGATTAGAGGAACAGTACTGACCTGGGCTATACCTGAGATATAGTGCGATGGAAATCAGTCAAGTCGCCCCTAACAATTAAAGTTGCTACCTAGGAAAGCCGCCCCTTACAGACTAGACCCTTACAAGCTCAGCTTCTTAACTTTCTCCTGAACATACAAAGTAATCCCAAAGTCGCCACCTAACCAACTTAAACAACTAAAACACTCGTCCAAAATCAATGTTCGTATTTAAGTCTTTCTTTGTATATCTGCAAATATTCTTTTAAACCTCTACTGTCTATGAATTTTTTCCAAGAATGTTGATTTCTCTCCAGTATGTATCCGCAAATGCTCCTTAATGTTCCTAAGTTTCTTTCCACAAATTTCACATTCTTTTATAATGTCTCCTCTGTGTCTAATTATCCACAAAGTCTTTTAAAATGTAAACTGTTTTTAATTTTTTTAAAACTATGTTTACATTTAAATTGTTCTTCGCTTGTGTGCATTATCAAATTATTATTGGAAAGCACACGGCCACTGAGGAAATATTGAATAATAATTTTTTTTTAAATTCTTCCCACATACACAGTCCTGTATTAGGGCCTATATTAATAACTTATAAAAAATAATTTGTACAATTTACAACAATGCAATTCCGAGAGTGACGAAGGTCAGTCTTTCACACAAATAAATGATAAGCCTGAACTTTATCTTGGCCTGGCCGGGTAATAAATCGATTTAGAATCATATTGTTTTCCTCAAATCAGACCGTAATTGACAAGAATAACTTGAAATTATGTTTGTCGTACAGTGAGTATAGACAGAATGTAAAGAACACATTCTGCATTAATTGGAAAGTTGAAAGCATTACTGAATTTTTAGATTATTGGGAACTGCCAACATATGACTTCGTTGAACTGAAAACTTGTGTCCGCATAGTCCTTGTCAGAATTGTAGGCTTTGCCGAGATAGAGACGTTTCATCGCGTCGTCGTTGTGAAAAAATCGCGTCGGCACTGCGTTTTAGTCTAGCTTTACTGTAGTAATGTCAGAGTCAGATAGATCTTTCCTTGTAGGTAACCCTATCCAAGGGAGCACCAGAAGTTCGTGTGAGGCACAGACTGAATCAACCGACGTGGTTAGTGACGGAACAGACGGTCTAGGCTCAGTGGCTAGCCTATTAAATGCTATCGCAAACGCAGGGGCATCAGTCCTTCGAATATCAAATACAGCCCGAAGGTATCCTGAACAATTCAACTCGTTGGAACAACGGACAAAACGGGTTCTTATGGTGCTTATAGAACTTAAAGTGGAGTTTGAAAATAACGAATTGGCAAAGAAGGTTTTAGAGGACATCAGGTCGAATCTTATAAGTGCGGAGGATTTTTTACTCAGTCACTTTGGCGATCGACGAACTTGCATGGGTTTGTGTTTATCTTTACTAAGATACCGATGGGTTAATTACAAACTTGAACATATTCATCAGAATCTGGATAGCTGTTTGTTAAACATCCTCATTATCCAATCAAACGCAAACAAAGTAAGTAATAAATGTTCTATTCCTAATTTTTATCCTCACCTCTTAGAAGGAGAGGTGAAGGGTACCGTATTGCAATAGCGTGTGTGTGTGTGTGTGTGTGTGCGTGCTTGTCTGTCTGTCTGTGTGTGGTATGTGTGAGCTCCGGGGCGCATAACACAAAAAACATTAGTCCGATTAACTTCAAACTTTTACACATTGACACTGTTACATATATTTTGGTCCTCCTTGAATTTGGTGCTGAAAGTAATGCAAGCAAAATTCCGGACGTAACCCGGGATTTTTCAATACCCGGGTTAAAATCTCCCGATTTGTGGTTGTAAACGTCAAAAAGTCCGACTCGGGTTGCCAAAAATTCCGTGATGGAAGTGCAAGGACGCATTAGTTTTCCCCATACAGTTGCGGCAGAAATTAAAGAGGGTGCTAAACTAACTCCTTCATGGCCTACCAACGCCGTAGCTTTCGTATTCCATATGCAGCGAAGAACAACACACAACTTTCGCGACTCGCGAGAAGAAGTGTCAAGCATGTATGCATTATCGGAACTGTATGGGAAAAAAATAATGCATGCAGGACGCATTCCGGAGCGCCAGTGTGTAAACAGCAAAGAACTTAAATAGCAGAAGAATGAGCTGTTCCGCGTATTTGCATTAAAATTAATGGAACATCCGCCCTCCCGCGCGAATGGGGTAAAATTTGAATATTTTACTAAGTGGAGAAACTACAGGAAACAAACGAACCAGAGCGGCGCCTTTCTGTTTATTATTACTATATAGCGCCGCCGCGCGGATGGGGTAAAATTGCTCTCCATGTACCCATAATGCCTTTCGAACGGATGTTCCACTGTATTAGGAAGCTGCTCTATATTCTGCTATTTATTATCTTTGTAAACAGCACCGAAATTAGACCTTACCTTGCGCCTACCGCAGCTGTAGTCAGGCAGGCCTAAACTTTGCTAACAACAGGCTAGGCCTAAACACTTTTCAAATTAAACCCTCTACGCTCCGGTATAGACTTGATATCAAAATTGCAGATTTAATTCGCATACTGCAGGTACATATTGCTTAAATATTGACAATAATTGTGGCTTCGTGACGACGAGGAACTCGAGCGAAGTGATGATCACCATTGCAACAAAAATTGAGGGCGGTATTTGAACCCGAGTTCGTCGGGATCAACCCGGACTTTTTCGTTCGATGTAAATGGGAAATGCACCCGGGATCACTCCGGAATTAACTCGGGTCGATTCTGCCCTTGGCAGTGTGAAAGGGGTATTAGATGCCGATTGTAGAATGTTATTATATATATTTCAGGCCGCAACGGTGTGCAAACTTGCCCGACTGATGCCAGGCCTCTTTTGGCGATGGCGCAACAGGGCGAGGGTTTTGTCATCTCAAAATTATATTGTTGTCCATTGTATTTTTCCTGCGTTGCTGTACTAATCAAAATGGTTAATGACGGAATAGTACTACTAACAATGCAGAACAACTCTGGATTTTTACATAGTTTACAATAATAAATGGAAGCTTTACTAAAAGTAATTTACTGTGTTTTTACTTTCTCGAAATAGAATCTGCTACTTCGGTCTATTAAAGAAACACAGCACCAGAAATTCACTCGTGAATGCAGTCACAAGTCCACTCAAGCAGGTACACAGGCCTAGTATCGATAACTACAAAAACTATAATGAATTTTTTCAGTTCATATTCTAGAAACACAGCGGTTCTTAATAAGCATATTGTTTATTTCTAGATAGGCCTCGTACTCATAACAACAGTATGAGTGCTAAAAATTTACCGAAGTCTTAAGGACATTACTAGGTAATACTCCTTGCATCAAAGTGGAATGAATGCACACAGATGATATCATCACTTATACAACTGAAGAACCGTATGCATTTAAAGTTGAAAGCAAGCTTAGTCATCAACCGATGAAATAAACCGACAAAATAGAGAACTATGTATTTTATATGTTACATAAATTATTTTATCTAACGTTATGGCATCCCGGTTGGGATGGCAAATATAGGAAAACAACAGTGCTCTGAGAAACGATGTCTGAATCCAGGTTGAGTACACAAAATCGATAAGCAAAATAAAATGTAACCAGCCAGAATTATCGTGGCCATGGAACTGCGGGGAATCACTGTCGAATATGATATAAATAATAAAATACTTTTCGTAGAAAAGGTGCTTCAATAAAGAGACACTAATGTAAGGGTCGTATCTGACTGTCTTTGTTAACAGTGTGCTAAAAAATTGACGGTGTTGGAAAGTTGTCCATTTGGCGTTCCATGCCTATAATGTAATAATATCGAACAAGGTTAAAAGAAGTACAATTTATGCCATCTACATTATCTACACTATGTCCCTACACGCATTTGCATTCATAATTATAATTTTCAATAAAATATATACCTTTTCCCCGATTAGTCCTACAAGATTGGATATTGCTTTTTTTCTCCAGCCCTTTATGTGCGGCAAGTCTTTTACAAACATAAATGGTCATAGCTAAAGAGTCAACCTATGAACTAATCAGTGGCAGATTCAAGGGGGCCCAGCAGGCCGGGCCCCCCTATATTTTTCAAAATTGTAAAAAAAATGGGAGAAAAAAAGGAAATTACTTTCAACTTTTAAGTCTGAGAGTGCCATTTCCCGCCATCTAGAGGTGCAATAATCGTAAATTTTCTGTCAAAGTCCCTCTCTGGGCCCCCTCTATTCCCAATTCCTAGATCCGCCACTGCTAATTGTAAGCTAACAAATTACAAAATACTTTTAAAAATGTATCTAAGGTTAGCGCCCTCTTCCACACTACATAAATTAGCGCTGATGACCTCCAGATAAATTCTTGCTGCCTTTATCCTAGCCTGGGTTCCATGGCCCAGGCCCTAATTTTAGGTTATTCACGCTTTACTGCGCGCCATACCTAATTTATTTGGCATCCCATACTCGATTTCTTTTTTCCCCCCCCCGCAAAATAACTTGCTTGTTGGTGGCGCTGTCCAGAATGAGAAAGAATAATAAAAATAAGGGACTTGTGGCAAAGTCTCCCTATCCGAGCGGAGGCACATTGACATTGGTTACTTAGTACTGTAATGTAATAGAGGTATTTAAACATTGTAACAAAGGTTTACTCAATTCAACAATTTACATTGGACAGAATTCCATACTATAAATATCTTTATTGTCATATAAACAAGTACATAGGCCTAATTTTTTTCCAGGGTACAATATAGATCATATATTTATATATCTACTAAGTTTTAATTTCGTTTGAAAAAATATAACTCATGCCACATATTTACATCTGACAATGTTACAGGCTTCTTATCGTGTCCACACACTTGCTAGATACTTGTTTCAGCCAGAGCTGAGACAAAGCACAATCATTTTACTCTGCCTACTACAAGTAAATGTATGCACATTAAATGTTGACTTGATCTTGTGTCATGTTACAGTAACACTGCATTAATATATTGGGAAATTCTTAAAATTAAATTGAAATACACTGGTTCCTGAGCATAATTTTCTAATTATAAAAGTAGTAATATAGCTTAATTTTTTTCTCTTTTTTTTTTAATCGAACAGATAAACATAAATACAGACTGTACTTAATTATCTCATTACAACTTAAGCAGCTTCCACCAAACCTTACCAACACTTTGAAACTAAGGCAGTAATTAATCCCAATCACATGTTTTATGAATTGATAAGAAACAAATTTGCCTATTACATGTCACGGGCCCTCCCTCAGCTGCATTCATATACGGTACATGATATACTGGTATTTTAAAAGAAGCACTATTCCGTACACAAAAGAACTTTTATGTACGCCATTGTCTTATATAGGCCTATTATATACTGTAATAACAATGGGCTTATTCGACTGGTTCATTTCGTTGACTACGATTTTTCGTTGAGTATTATTTTCATTCGACTTGTTCGTAAAATAGACTTCGGCAAAAATTAACGTAACCAGAATGCATTAATCAGCGTTAAGTTATCCACGTGATCAAAACAATCATGGCCGATTGGTCAGTTTACAAACAACATTTGCGTTAATATAATTTAGATTAAATTACACACATGAAGTCAAAAAATTATTGTAGGCTAACAGAATTCAAAAACTGGATGAAAAACATTTTTACGAAAAACCCATACTGCCACAACAAGCCGAAGTAATCTTGATTACACAGTGTGTATCGCGGTAACTATGTAGCCATTTTGTTTACGGTCGAGTATTTACAAGTTTTCTATTCGACTGGTCGTCCTCGTTAAGTAGGATTATCACTGCGCATGGGGTGGGGGCTGGTTTAACGAAGAACGACCAGTGGAATACGACCAATGAAACAATCCCTTAGTATAATACACAACTGGAGTGCTATCGGAATATATACACTAACCAAACAGGTATGAACCAAGGAAGGGTCACCCTGATATAACTTGTTAACGTTATTTCCAGGCTGAGTTCTGCTATAACCTGATTATAACGTTCAGAGCGGTCTCGAATGTTATAACAATGTTTTGTGTTTGCTGGGTCTGTAAGTGAATGGAAAATGTGTCACTTGAAGTTGCTAACTAATTTGGTGGAGGCATTTACAATCTATCGCTACTACAATTTAAATCATCCAAACAATGTTATAATAATGTTTTTTGTTTCCTGCGTTTATAAATGAATGATATGTGTCACATTTTAAGTTGGTGAACCATTTTGGTGAACGCGTTTACAATATAGGCTACTACTACTACAATTCAAATCATCTTAAAAAAACAGTTAAAATTGTGCTTTCAGTCTACTTATCTACTTACCTTAGGTATCATTTTATAGCTTTTTACTAAGTGGTAAACGTTATATTGACAGTTTCTACAAAATTCACATTTATCAGAAAACCAAACATATTTATACTTCTGAAACTAGTGATTATTTATTTGCATACAGCTTCCGTGTACATAGTACAGTTCGTGGATGAGAGTTACTTCTGTTTGAATTGCTGATTATTATTATGTAGTCTATTATTACACTTTATATAGGCCTACATATTTTTAATATAACAACGAAAAACGCATGCACGTGCATGTTAAGGCAATCGAATGTAAATTCAAATACTTGTGTGTGTGTGTGTGTTATTCAAATACTAAGTAAAAACAAAAAGAAATCTATTTTGACTCAAAACGATGTGAGTCGTTTTAACTCACTGTGGTGGACTAAAAAATAAAATTACAAGAGCCAACACAACCATTACATACGCCTTAAATATAGAGCCTCTTGGAACGAATCGACACATGTCTAAAGGCCGTTTTCCACTAGGCGAATTTATTCGCACGGATCGAAAATTTGTACCCGTACGAATTGGCATTTGAAAATCTCGTGATGAAAATTAAACTGGACATGCGTATAGGGCGAAAATTTTCGAATAAATTCGTCTAGTGGAAAACGGCCTTTATGAATGTTCAGTAAAGAGTATAGAATAGCAAGAAGTCCGACTGCTGGGGTTTCTTTGAAACGGAATCCTATCTCAAAAAGTACTATTACAAACTAGAGGGCGCCCTTCTAAAGAACGTAAAAGTCGCTCGTATCATGGAGGAATTAGTTTTCCTCCATGCTCGTATCAAATGCGTGCAGCGTTATTGCTCAAATTTCAAACTCGAATTGGGCGCCACCTACCTCGTGGTAGTACTTTTGTTTTCGTTTCATTGCGTGTATGCAAAATCAGGGCAGTCGTACCTAAGTAGGTGTGTGTGTGATTCACAAAATTACTATAATGTTCTATTTACTAGCTTCAATGATAGTTACATACTCTGCATCTGGTTTAAATGCAACGTTTTCGTAAGCTGTTGATTCATTTTTTACTTCATCGTACTCATCCTCTTTTAAAACTTTCTTCATACTGCTCTGGTATTCAGACACCAAAGCTTCATGTTTTCGTTTAGCGCGTTCCTCTAATCTTTTTTCTTTGAGTTCTCTTTCTTCAAAGTTAAATTTATTTGTCGTAACAATTGCCCAGCGCTGTATGAAAATAAAATAAAATCATTTATACACAAATAGGCTTACATTCAAATTTTTGGCTATGAGGTATGGTTATAGAGTGAGACTTACTAATATTTTTCAGAGCTTGCGTAATACTCACCTCGGAAAAAGATCCTCTGGTTGTGAGAAATAAATATACGGCATATGAGATGATCCATTGCATTGACGCCAGCGCCATGAACCAGCCTAATATCTCTCCCCACACAGGGTAGTAATAGTTTTCACCGTATGTAGCGTGTTGGTAGTCGACAAGAGCAAAAATAAATATACCCTGGAATGCATAAGGAAACAAATTTATTTATTAATTCATTTTATAGCGCACATAATTATTATCCAATTATAAAATAACTGCTCAAGGCCCTTTTGGATATAAAAACCACTAATCAATTATACATGCAACCGACCTCCTCCGCTCCTTGGAAAGTATAGTAACTGACTGATTTCATTCTGAATCACTTCGAACTCCTACCACTAATCCATATTTAAATGGAACGAATATTTATTGTTATAAGGATAAGCCTACTAATATTGCATTGTCACAAGGATGACCAGATTACTTAAGAAAATTAATACAATCATTATTAATTTTAATTATTTTGTAAGCCTATATATTCGATCATATATAATAACATAAATAAGAAGTTTTAGAACAAGAGTTATCCGTACTTCAGTTACTGTACCATCTTATGACTATAGAGAATAAAGATAACGAAGTTATCATATTCCGCTTAGCAACAAAATATTGCGCTCTCTAGAATTAAAGAAGTTTGGTGAAAACGACGAATGTCTTGCAATTATTGTCTCAAAGAAAGAAATATAATTTAGCTTTTTAAAAAACGTAGCGAGTTTTCTCTGATGTTCTCATTAAACTATACCGGTAAGTTAGAACTGAAATAAAGTTTATCACAAATAAAGCTGTAAAAAAAAAACTCTCCCTATTATAGACTACCGCAAGTAATAATTTACTAAAAATACGTTTTAGGCTTACTTACCAAACTAGCAAGTGGAGCCGTAACAGACCAGCAGAAGGGCCAGAAAATTCCAGGAGAGAATCCTAGCATGGTACAGACGGCGGAGAAGTATTTCTTTATCCCAAGTCCGTATGAAATTGCTACACTTTCCCACATCGCTACCCATAACAAGCACATCCCGCTTACACCATAAGAATTCATCAGCTCGAAGAAATACATTCCACCCTAAACAAAAAATGTACAGTTAAGATATTCCTGCAGACCATATCTTTCATATAATTGTACTTTCCACATATTAAAACGCGATTAATGGCTTTCTTGTGGAAATGCTTAAAAAATCACATTACATATCTCATAAGGTACGATACCTTAAGGTAACTGATGTTGATAATCTAATTTTTGAAACTTTTCACATCCAACAGCAAGTGACATCGTTAATAATTAAGAACTATTATATATTTGCACTACCCTATATGATCACGTCTTCACAGAGTTTAAATATATTCTTTTTTAAAAGAGTGAAATTATATTTAGCAACAAAATCTGAAATGACAAACAATCAGTAAACAGTTTTAACATAATTATAAATATGATTTAAACATGAACATTCTTTTTTTTGTAAAATTTTATACCACCGCTTTTTACCTGCTTTTTTACTTTCACTTTTACGTACTTTTAAGGTTTAACTAGAGTTTTTATTGATTGTATTAGTTTTACTTAATGATAAGTAATTTTAAAGGTTTTTTTTTACAAATTTTAATGTTTGTTTTTTACCTGTTTTTTACATTCACTTCTACATACTTTAAAGGTTAAATTGGTTTTATTTCTTTTATTAGCCTTATTTTCATTAGTAGTTTGAACAAATTTTAATTTTTGTTTTAGTTTTTAATTAACTTTTATGTAATATTTTTTTATTTAAGGGACCCCAACCGATTCGGTTTCTTTGGGTTATCCTGAGCTGTAAATGTTTTACTAAATTATCTTTATATTGTTCATTGTTTTGTTATTTGTAATGTGATTAATTGCTCAAATACTTTATGAATTGAAGTTGATTTTAGCCATTTGGCAAACATTTTTACAGGGGTGGCGCCAGCGAGGGGCCGGGGACCAGGGCCCCCGTCGGGGAGAAAAAGCACAATTCGTCGGGAAGAAAAAAAATTATATGTATTTTCTACATATTAGTAGACTCTAAAATAGATTAAAAAAGCCTTTGAAACCCCTAAATTGGACCACTTTCGAAGCCTTTTCATCGAAGCTGGACCACGCTCACTTTGCTTTCGTCGGGGAAATCTGACCCCTTGTCGGAGGCATCGCCCCCCCCCCCCCCGTCCGCCCCCCCCGGTCGGGGACCTCGGCCCCAACCACTGGCGCCACTTCTGCATTTTTACCAGACAAGCAATAGCAATACATGCCCAACTACCCAGTCTGGAGCATAACATTGTTAGTCATATATCAGAATATATGTTTTAAATACAAATTTTATAATTATCATCCAACAGGGATTAATTAGAAAATCGCAGAAGTAACGCAAATTTCTGCGACAAGTATCTGAGATTTTCCATATTTGGGCATGATGATGTCATAATTTATTACACCCATTACATGGCATCGCATAGTTGTCACATAACCTGATAATGGGGGCACAACTTAAAACAAACATTACATTCATAAAAGATTTTGAATTTACCTCGGTAACACAGACGAGTCCAAGAAGAAAATCTATAATACAAACTACCATCAAGAACACAGTTCTGTTTTCTCTTAATTTATACTCCGGCCAATAGTCCATTACTGAGGTCACGAAGCCTTCAACAACACAAAACTGTAAAAAATATTTATGAAAATAGCATGATACTCTCCTCCACCACAATTTCGATCAATCATTGTCTGTAGACTTTCCAAATAATGTTAATTATCGCATGGAACATAATTATTATATGCCTACAGCCTGTCTTCCATAAAATAGCTACACGTTTTCGCAGACAGCTTTTGGCGACGCTGATTAGTCGGTCGCATCGTGGACCCTTTCCGATTGCGTCGGAAGGAGCTACGCATTAAAAGCAAACTATGTTTTAGCGACAATGGAAACCAGCTAGCTTAAGGTACGTACCTGACTATCCAATCCAAGCATTATTAACATGAGGAAAAATATAACCGACCACAGCTGAGGGACGAGTGGCATTTGGTAAACAGCAGTCGGATACGCAATAAAGGTGAGGCCAGGACCTGGATAAAAACAATGTTAAAAGTAATTGTTTATAAGTATTGGTATGTGAATTCCGCTGTTGTATCTATTTGGGATTTTGTTTTGTACTTTTGGAATTATTACTTAATTATAATTAACATAAACACATACACCGCACCAACAATGACAATAATAACAAATACAGGCCTGTATTATGAATTGTATATAATACAGTACCATAAAGTTTGGATATTGTTCATAAGGTCCCACAAAACGATAGCTTAAACGTGCGTAAACTTGTTCATTTGTGGGATATTCGTGTACAGTATATTATGGCGCTGTCCTGCTTGATGAGTTGTTAAGTTTGATAGACACTCCAAAAACGTCCATTGGAAAAAAAAAAAAAAAAAAAAAAAAAAAAAACCCTTCTCTATTTAAATACCTTTAAATGTATGACATGCATGTTTTAGCGGAGTGAGGGACCCAACACAAGGAGCGAAGTTCAAGTGATAGCGCGATAAGCAACATGATATGCGAGTTCACACTTCAAATTCACACACTATTTAAATATATGTCTGTTTTGGAAGCAAATATCCTTACATGTTATCATGGGTATATTATATGATAAGTGTAGCCATTTTTTTGTATACGGCAGCCTGACAGCAAGGCAAGTGAATGTTCCCTTTAAACGTTTAAGAGTCCGCACGACTGTCGGAAACAAAATACAAACGCTTCAACAGCATATACTATCGTCTGAATATTTACAAAGCATTCGGCTTAACAGTTTTATATTTGTACGGCATTTAATAGCCGATTTGTAATGCAACCAATATAAAAAAAATTAATAAAACCACCATCTTATAATTTGTTTGTCCTTCGACATATTCACGGAAAATTAAAATTTCAAGACTGCATTTGTAACCAACCTTCTGAAACTACTTCAGAAACAGGAACTCCGAGTTCATTTGCCATGAAACCGAGAATTGAGAAAATAACAAATCCGGCAAACAGACTAGTCCCAGCATTAACTACTCCCACCACAATTGTATCACTGCAAATAAAAATACATATACCTTTTATATAACGATATGGGCCTAATTATGTATATGTTTAGTCTGTGCTTAAATTCTGATTACTGTTCCTTAAAATATATGCAAAATAACAACAACCATAATAATACTACCAAGATAGATGATTATGAAGATTTTTTTATTATTATTTATTTATATAGGCCTAATTAAGTATATTTTTAGTCTATGCTTTAATTTTGATTGCTGTTTCTTAAAACAAATGCAAAATAACAACAACGATAATAATAATACCAAGATAGATGAAGATAATAATTATGATTATGAAGATTTTTTTATTATTATTTATTTATATAGGCCTAATTAAGTATATTTTTAGTCTATGCTTTAATTTTGATTGCTGTTTCTTAAAACAAATGCAAAATAACAACAACGATAATAATACTACCAAGATAGATGAAGATAATAATTATGATTATGAAGATTTTTTATTGTTATTTATTTATATAGGCCTAATTAAGTATATTTTTAGTCTATGCTTTAATTTTGATTGCTGTTTCTTAAAACAAATGCAAAATAACAACAACCATAATAATAATACCAAGATAGATGACGATAATAATTATGATTATGAAGATTTTTTTATTATTATTTATTTAAATAGGCCTAATTAAGTATATTTTTAGTCTATGCTTTAATTTTGATTGCTGTTTCTTAAAACAAATGCAAAATAACAACAACGATAATAATAATACCAAGATAGATGACGATAATAATTATGATTATGAAGATTTTTTTTATTATTATTTATTTATATAGGCCTAATTAAGTATATTTTTAGTCTATGCTTTAATTTTGATTGCTGTTTCTTAAAACAAATGCAAAATAACAACAACGATAATACTACCAAGATAGATGAAGATAATAATTATGATTATGAAGATTTTTTATTATTATTTATTTATATAGGCCTAATTAAGTATATTTTTAGTCTATGCTTTAATTTTGATTGCTGTTTCTTAAAACAAATGCAAAATAACAACAACCATAATAATAATACCAAGATAGATGACGATAATAATTATGATTATGAAGATTTTTTTATTATTATTTATTTAAATAGGCCTAATTAAGTATATTTTTAGTCTATGCTTTAATTTTGATTGCTGTTTCTTAAAACAAATGCAAAATAACAACAACGATAATAATACTACCAAGATAAATGACGATAATAATTATGATTATGAAGATTTTTTATTATTATTTATTTATATAGGCCTAATTAAGTATATTTTTAGTCTATGCTTTAATTTTGATTGCTGTTTCTTAAAACAAATGCAAAATAACAACAACGATAATAATACTACCGAGATAGATGACGATAATAATTATGATTATGAAGATTTTTTTTTATTATTTATTTATATAGGCCTAATTAAGTATATTTTTAGTCTATGCTTTAATTTTGATTGCTGTTTCTTAAAACAAATGCAAAATAACAACGATAATACTACTAAGATAGGTGACGATAATAATTATGATGATTTTTAAAAATATATATCTGTTTATTTGTTATCCATATACTAGGTTACCTCTTCTGTAAAGTGTTACTGTTTTACAGGGATAATGAAAATGATGATGTTATGAAGAAAATGATGATGAAGATGATGATAAAGATGAAGAAAAAGATAATGATAATGATGCGATGATGATAGCGAGCATGATGATGACGATAATGATAATGATGATGACGATGATGGTAATGATATTGATGATTATGATGATGATGATAATAATGCTGATAATGACAATGATTTATTTTGGAAACTATTCTGGAAAAAATATGACGGTTTAAAAAAAAATGCTAATAATCCTTACATTAGACTGTTATTACGGTATGGATTGTAGCTACCAAGTGCAATCAAAGACCCAATTCCTATCCCGTATGAGAAGAAGATCTGCGTAGCTGCGTCGATCCAAACAGTTGGAGTGGTCAGACGTTCCCAGTCTGGTGTAATGTAGTATTCGATACCGTCCTGATGCCCCTCTAGAGTCAGTCCACGGATCAGAAGTGCTGTCAGGATACCATACGGAATCAAGGCTGTAAACCACATAATCTATATGAAAAAGAGAAATATCAGTAAAAATACGGTTCCGCCAGACAAAACGAAAAAAAAAATGGTCCTAGTTGAATGGACATGGTGAGACCCTGAAACATCTCTTAATAGCAATGTATGGGCTATACTTGAACAACTTCGAATTGACATAACAGCATAAATAGGGATTCAAAAGTTGGAGAACTATAATCTTATATAAACAAAGACCAACAAAAACAAAATCTTTACTTTTCCAGTCTGAGCAACTCCCTTCCAGAGGCAGGCATAGGTGAGAACCCAAGCTAGGGCGAGACATCCGACAAGTTCCCATTGGAGACTACCTATATCATCGATTCCAGGAGAGATCTGCAAAACTCGTTTTCTGTAGTAGTAAAATAATACAATTAAAGTAAAAAACAAATTACCTGTGTTTATAGTCTTAGAGATAATGTTTCCACAATCTTGTAAAACTTATTACTTTATTTATAACCATTTTATTACGTACTTTATTTTATTCAATTTCTAGGGGAAAAAGAAAATAAACAAAAGCACAATAACACCTGCACGTAACCAAAATTAAACAATATCAAAGAATTACACACTGTCGAGTTGCTTTCCCAACTAATTGTACATAATAAAACACAAAAAAAACCCCAGAAAAAATAACCTAAAATACTTTGCTTTTTTTAGATCTCTTCTAAACCCTCCAAAATTGTACAAAGCTTCAACACGATTGGAACATCAAGAAGAATATGTTCCCAAGTTCGTGCATTAGCACCCCTGTGTTTAAAAGTGAGTCTCTGGAAAAGGTATTTCAATATATCAAAACCATAATAATAATAATACACTTAATAATAATAATAATAATAATAATAATAATAATAATAATAATAATAATAATAATAATAATTACGAAAGTGAAAATGCCATTTTTGACAATTATGACAATTATGATTTACACTTTTCAGAAATTTAACCCATGACCCTCCTAATTTGGAAAGCGAACATTTTCTAACCGTTTTTAAAATAATTCAATTTACTCAGGTGTAAACAATATTCGATGCTCAATATAAAGACCACTAACTCGTGTGATTTGGATCGAAAGTCTGTTACTTACTCCCAGTACTGCTGTGCAGGTGATTCTCCGACACTGACTGGATAAAGTGATCCATTTATTGCCTTAAAGTACCCAGTTCCACGTGTACCATTCTGTAGGGCTACATCATTACAATATATATCGTTCCAACTGTTACTACATGTTCCCCACGGCAGTTCACTCTGAAAGGAGGCGAACAGGTAGAACAGCGACCACGATACAATAACAATGTAGTATATATTCAATATTGCTGAAATGGAGATGGCAGCAAACCCCACACCTGGAAAGAGTAAACAGCTTTTGTTAGTCGTATTTTTTTTTGTAAATTCCTCATTCGAATAAATAAGGTTGATTGGAACTATATTATTCAGATTCAGAGTAACTGTATATAGCCTATTACAAGACATCAAATGTCAGAGTTACTTTTCGAGTAATCTTAGTATGTAGTTTGAAACCCTAAAATGCTAAAATATTTTTTTGAGTTACGATGCAAATGATTGTTGTCTTTTCAACTTTTAATGTTTCCATAAGGTGTCCACACCACATCGAATGTTGCGTTCTCAATAATAGCGTGTCACTATCAGGTATCGTCTTCACATAAAGTTCAACAATCCCATAACTTCAGATATATCATCACAAATCGTAGCAACAATTGAGCATTATTGCAGAACCTTGTAGTATTTTTATTTATCACATTTTGCCTATATTATAGGCAAAATGTGATCATTTACTGTTTAAAGAGGCTTCCTATTGTAATATAATTATTTCATAGGTTTACTTCTACTTATTTTTGTTGATTTAAATAGACTTACCCTTTAATACAGGAAAAACATCCCAAGCACCGATACCACCGGTTGTTAGAAGTTGACCCATAGTTATCTCCATCATAAAAAGCGGAACTCCGCAAACAACTAAAGAAATGAAATATGGGATGAGGAACGCACCTGTAGGAATTAAAGAAAAAAATGATGTTATTACATAATTGCTATTGTTTTCTGTTATTGAATAAATATATGTAAATGTGTTTTGATCGATATATACGACCTATATATTATGCAATAATGATATTATTAATTACACTAATTATATTACATGAATTACATATAATTATATTGCATGAATTACACTTATTTCGAACTCACAAGTTTATTGAAAGCCCGAAGACCTATACCACTGACGTACATGCGCTTCGTTCATTCGCAAAAAAACAAAAGCTACCGTACCTAGATTTCTGAACAAACAAAAGGTCTAGTACGAGAGGTTTGAATGCAGCTAAACCTAAATTTCATCAGCTTGCACAAGTTAATGCATGGACTGAACTGCATTCATTGTCAAGTACATAAGTTTTCTTGGATTATAATATATAAAAATATATAATTAATTTAACCTACCTCCACCGTTTTTGTAGACAAGATATGGAAAGCGCCAGACATTACCAAGACCAACGGCATAACCAATACAAGTCATAATAAAATCAAGTTTACTGCCCCACCCTTCTCTTTCTTCTTCGCCATCTTCATGATCATCGTCCTCGTATTCGTATTTATCCTTGGATGTATCATCCATTGCAACATCTGCCTGTTGTGTGACAGTTTTTTCATCATTCTCTCTGCTACCAAATGCCTCCTGCGCGTTTACTGGCAATATCGAAGCCATGTTGGCAACAGTTTAATTGAAAATATTAATATACAAATAGAAAAAAAGATCCAAAAATGTAATAAAGATATTCGGATATCATAGAACGTAGGATAAAATAGTGCTGCTTATAGAATAAGCCAAAGTACGAGTCTGAATAAACTCAAGCGGAATTATCACCGGGTGTACTCAACGATTGTAAGGTCAAGCAGATAAAGATTAGAAATTGACCTATCCGATCATCATGGAATCATCATGGATCATATATCAAATATTGAACTATGGAAAGGAAATCGAAAAACCTAAATCGGAGAGAAATAAAATGAAGTATAAAAATTAAATACCATGCTATTCTACGAAGTAGTCTTAAAAAAGCTTTACAACAAAAATAGGCCTATAAGAATATAATATATTACTTATGGGGTGGTATTGGTGGTAATGATAATAGTGATGATGGTGCTATTAATAATAACGATGATGATGATGATGATAATGATTATGACGAGATGATCATGATATTGATGGTAATTATGACGGTGACGACGATATGATGACAACAATGATGTTGATGTCGACGACGATGTTGGCGATGATGGTTCTTAGTGGCATATTGCCACGTTACGAAAACATAATTTTGATCTACATCACTGGCGTACCCAGGGGTTTTCACGGTGCATGAGCACCCCCTTTTTGTTCAGCATCCCTTTTAAAAATCCTACTGTATACTATACAAATTTTGAAAAGAAACAAATTTGATTATTTGTATTGGGCAAGTTATTGTTATATATAAACATGGATAACTCAAAAAATCTGGAATTATCTTTTGCAATGGGTAATCTAATCTTCATAACAATTGGTAGAAGAAATTAAGAGGACACGATAGAAGCTTGCCCACCTTTGTCAAATAATTAACTAACTTATCTCACTAGCGTACACTAAGGTCAGTTTAAATGTTACGTAGTGGAAAAGTTTGACAGCAGATCACCACACACATTGCACTGTGTAATATACAGTACGTATCCAAAGTTTAAAGTTAAGTTTATTTTCATAATTTGTAAAAAGTTGTATTTTTTTTTGTATTTGAAAAAAAAGAAGTTTTATTCACAACTTGAATACGATGATTAATTAAGAGGAAGCAGTGCCGTACCTAGAAATCCTGAAATGGGAGGGGGG